ATGACTTAAATTTAGAATTTTAGATGGTTAAATCAAATTTGTCCCGAATTCTCGATTAAAATGTTGATTTGTGGTTGGGTTGTGTGGGTCGTGGGCTTTTAAAAATGAAAAATGAGCTTAATTTATGCATTATCTAGTCAAAACTCACTAATCCAAGATGAAAAACCCAAATGGAAATAGGCAAAAAGTCCAATTGCCAAATAGAAGGTAAAATCGAGATTTTACCTGATTTCACAGTAAAATCTAGATTTTATCTGATTTCCCAGTAAAATCGAGATTTTACCTGATTTTAGATTTTAGTATAGATTTTACACGAAATACCTTGCTGAAATCGTAAAATCGTAAGATTTTAAGATTTAAATCTAGATTTTGACAACACTGGATACACCATCATTTCCAAATGATCGATTCATCCAAACTCTGCTTTGTGCTATTGAATTAGAGTCTTTGAAAATTCCATATCAACAAATCTTCCAAGTCTGTGCTACTACTAACATTTCTCCTCTCCATTTGTGGCACTCACGACTCGGACATACATCTGTCGGTAAACTTCGTCCACTTATCTCTCGTGGTTTATTAGGATCAGTTCCGAATGAATCTGTGCATTGTGTGTCATTTCAATCTGCAAAGCAACCAGCTTTATCTTTTTCGAGTAGTCATTCTTATTCTATTGCTCCTTTTGATGTTGTGCACTGTGATGTTTGGGGTCCATCTCCTACACCCACCATGGGGGGTTCCAGGTACTTCGTGTTATTTATTGATGATCATACTCGTTTTACTTGGATATACCTTATGAAAAGTCGCTCTAAATTATCACAAATTTATATTGATTTTGCTGTCATGGTCAAAACCCAGTTCTCTAAAATTATCAAAGTTTTGAGAACTGACAATTCTACTGAATATCTTAGTACTAAACTTCAATCTTTTTTGAAAGAACAGGGTACACTACCACAACAATCTTGTCCTTATACTTCTGAACAAAATGGGCGAGCCGAACGCAAACACAGACACATCCTTGATTCTGTTCGTGCTCTGCTCATTTCATCTTCTTGTCCAGAGCGATTTTGGGGTGAGGCTGCTCTTATAGCTGCTTATCTTATTAATCGCATTCCAGCATCAATCCTTAATAACCAGTCTCCATATGAGCGTTTACATGGTATTCTTCCTGCTTATAATCTTCTTAAGGTTTTTGGTTGTGCATGTTTTGTTCTTCTTCCACCTCATGAACATAACAAGTTAGAACCTAGAGCTCGATTATGCTGTTTTTTGGGTTATGGGATTACACAAAAAGGATATTGTTGTTGGGATCCTGTGTCACAAAAACTCCGAGTTTCACGTCATGTTGTCTTTTGGGAACACACTATGTTTTCATCATTGTCAAACTTCAAAGTGTCATCCTCTCATCAACCTCCATTTTTTACTAATCCTTCTATTGAGCTATTTCCTAGTGATTCTAATGCAGGTACATCTGATGAGCTCTACA